GGCCACAAGAAAGACCAGTCTGACTTAATTCTGCACAGTATCAACACCAAACAGACTTAGCCCAGCACTACTGGCTCTCCTAATTCAGCTTTGTATGCTTCAGTTTTCATGAATTTTTAAAAAGTTTCCATTTCTCTTGGGTTTCGGCAGGTTTTCTGGGGTGTGTGTGCCCCAGTGCCAGCTCCGCATCCTCCTCCTTGACCTCCTGGAGCAAACAAAGGAGACAGAAAGTCAGTTTGGATCTCCCCACCCTGGGAAATTTTTGGATGATTTGAGAAACCAAGTGTGCCACAGCTCAGGGGATGAAAGGGTCGGCATGGTGATCAGATCCAGTGCTCGGGTCCTGGCACAGCCATTGTGCCACTCCTCCCTCTGGCAGCACTCAAACATGAAAATACAGATGGTGCCACTTGCAGGGCAGGGATGGAGACTTGGAGGAAGGAGGCTTTGGGAAGGGAAAACAAAATTAGCCAAGCCCTCAATGGACTGAAAAAACCCAAATGCATTTCTTTGTTGTTCACTTTGTTGGTGGTGCGAAATGCAGCCTCCATCTGTGACTGGAAGCTGAAAGCTGCCTTCTCCCTCTAGCCCTGTCCAGAGCAGAGAAATTAAGCCAGGACAGAGGAAAATGGAAATTCCAAGATGGAAAGCATAGATAGGATCTGTGAATGCAGCCAAGCCAGGCACTTCAGTTTAAATTTAAGCATAGACAAGCTGGAAGCTTCACCCCACCACACTAACCTGAACTTTCATCTCCTTCCAGTAGGCCACAGAGAGCTTGGAGACCAGTCTGGCCGTCCCAGAGGCTGAAACCTGTGCCCAGTCTGCACCCCAGGGGTTCCTGTCTGCAGATGTTGGCAGTGGTGACACTGCAGTCCCACCTATGTCCCGAAGCTGGAGCCTGTCTTTGGCAGCTCCCAGCCCTGTCCCAATGTGCAGCAGCCTGTGGGGAATGGTGTCCCCACATCCTGGCCCAGAGGAGCCAGCAGCATCCCCAGTGAGCCCCTGGGGCTCCATAGGGGCTTGCTGGCTGTCCAGGCAGAATCTTTGTTTTCATCCCTCAATCAAACACTCATGGACAGGCCGTGTGTGCAGAGCTTGGATTATTATTGTCTTGAAGGAATAAAATGCAGCATTGGAGCTTTTGGGATTCAAACCAATGCTTCCAGGCCTCCAGATATATTCCAGTGCTGATGCTGGAAACAGGGACGGCATTCCCTCCAGCGAGACAGCCACTACATCACACGGGACCTGCACGAGGAAATAATGATGTATGGCTGGCCTTGGGACACTCTTTGCAGCTTCATTGGCCTCCCTGGCAGAAGAATAACCGAGAGTTTATTGCCTCTCTTCCAGTGATCTTTACTCCCAGCAGTTTTCTCAGGAAGGCCTGGATCCTCATACCTCATCTGAAGAGCCATGGACTGCTGGTGGGCCACGGAGTTGGTTCCTGGGCACTGAGGTGCTGGTTCCTGGGATGGGGCTCTGCTCTCACAGGGGAAATCCTGCCTCACCTCTGTCCAAAGCAGAGCATGATGTCTGGGGCTCCTTTTCCCCTCCTCCTGCAGGTGCAGTGAGCTCCTGGAGCAGCACCAGCACCCTCAGCCTCAGCACCCAAGCATCCCAAATGGACAACATCCATGTGCTCGCTCCTTCACACCACATCCCCTTCCCCAGCACCAAAACACCCGGTGCACCTGTGTCTCCATGCTGCACCTGGGCAAAGCCCCTGCAAGGGGTCCAAGAGGCCACTTCTGACTTAAATCCCATCTGCCTGGGCAGGAAAAAGGGAAAAAGAGCCCCTTCATGCCAAAAGTTGGTGATTCCCAGCTCCGGGTGCTGTTTACAGAGGGCAAAGGTGAGGTTGTGGCAGGTGATTTTTCCCCCTTTCCCTGGCCCTCCTGCAAACAGCCCGATTGCTATGATTCCTCTGTCATTAAAATGTAAATGAAAACAGACACAAAAACAATCTGAATTTCCAGCTGAGTTGCTCTTGCTTAATATTCTACCCCGAAGGGGGATGTGCGGAAGCAACAACATTTCAAAGGGAATCATTAAAGAAGGGAGGCTCAAACTGCGTTTCCATCAGATACCACGGCAGAGCCCAGCACTCGGAGTCCCACCCATCCCAATGCCCCTGGAAAGGATGAGCAGGAAACTGGTCCTGGAAAATGAACCATCAGAGCCAGGGTGAGGAGGATGCTCACACTGAGTGGGGCTGTGCTGGTCATGTCCCAGTGTGGTCCAGTTTTGGCTGGGGATGGGCAGTGCTGCTCCAGGTTCGTGTTTCCGGCTGCAGTGATCAGGCTGGGATGATGCCCAGATTTTAATGCATTCCAAGGTTTTAGAAATACCCTGAAAGGGCATCAGGGCTTGCAATGTGTCCTGACACATAAGCAGTGCAAGGTGAGGGGAAGATCCTGGTATTCCAAATCCTGCCTCCTTCCTTGTCCACCCTGAGCTCTTGGTGCTCATGCTGCTCTGCTCTGTTTCAAGCATGAGGTGAACGTATTTCTTCTGTATTTATTCTGTCAGTGTGAGGCAGTTAAAATGAAATATGAAACTTCAGGGAGTGAGAATAGCCTGAAAAATCCTGTGAATGGTGCTTCTGTCCCAGTGGATGCTGCTGGAACAGGAGGGATGCACCAAGGCTCAGGGCCACACATGAAATCCCAGGATCTGCCTCCAACCCTCCTTTTCCCACTGGTCAGTGCCACTTACCCAGGGCTGCAGGAAATGGAGCCTGGATGGACAAAGAAGATCTCTCTGTGGAGAGACTGGAGCAGCAGGACAGAGCCCCCCTGCTGCCCACTACGTCTCCTGGACCTGTCAAGCAGTGGCAGGTGCTCCCAACATGATGGCACATATGGATCCTATAAGGGCTGAGCTCATCTCTCTGGGCAGCCTCACTCCTCCAGCCTGGGAAGGATGTGAGGTGGGACATGGGGTGCCCAGGGGGGTGGGACCCCTCACCACAGTGGGTGCTGCCTGGATGTGACGTTTGGGCTGAGGGGAGCAGCTGTGGCTGTGCTCATCTTCCCAGCTGAGAGCAAGGAGAGCCCTTTTCCCACTGCAAACCGAACATGTGGGATCTGGAAGTCTTTGAGACACAATAAACAAGGGATCCTGGGATGCTTTAAGTGTGTCCCGGTCTGGATCTCTGGATAATGGCCTGAGATTATTAATTTTCTTTTGTACTTTCATTGCATCAGTTACCACATCATTCAATTTTATTTTTCAGTACTTTTTTTAATTCCACAAAATACTGGAAAGGGTTAGAATGGATTCCAATTTCAAGGTAAAATATTTCCCTCCAAAGCTTCATAAATACTTGATTTTGGTTTAAAGCCATTGTTTTATCTTTCAAAGCAAGACGTTTGCCAGACCTTGCTTTGTGCAGTAAAACCGACCCAGCGTCACAGGGATTTGATATAATAGTAATAATAAACTTTCAGAGGAGGCCTTAAAACCAGAGGGGCTGTGGGTCAGGCACAGGAATTCAGGCTCAGATGCCATGGGGTCCATATAGATCCCCCCAGCGTGGCTCCAGGTCTCTGCTGGGACCAATGGCTGGATCCAGATCCTGCTGGTGGCATTCCCACTGACCTGGGGGTGTTTGGGGCTGGAGCATCTGCCCTGAGAGCCAAGTTAATCCCTCTGTGAGGTGAGAACTGAGCCCTTTTATCGAGGTTTGTCAATCCCTGAGAATGGGGAAATCCCTAGCGAGGAGTCCTGGGTCAGACCCCTGTCCCAGCCCCGTGCTGGAGGCTGCCTGTGACCCCCATCCCACCTGAGCTGCACCCAGAGGGAGCTGAGGATGCAGGGTCAGAGTCTCCTGCCCCCCACACCCCCCCCAGGCTGGCCTGGGCTCAACCCTGCAGCGTTTTGTGTCTTTATTGGTTTTCCCCCACAATTGGTGGGGTTTTTAATTACTTCCCAAATCTCATTTGGGGCACGGGAGGTGGGGGTGGAAAAGCTCTGTCTGAAGCTGATTTTGCAAATCAGTTCTGGCCATCTCCAGCCAGGTCCTGGGGCAGGAGCATCGGGCTCCCAATAACCAGGGAGGAAGCCTCTTGTTGCCAGAGCAGATCCACCTCTTTGATGTGTTCCCACAGTTATTCTTTCATTTCTTGAGCAAATAATCTGGATTTTCACAATATTTACCTTGGAAATAATTATTTGTGTAAAGCATTTGACCAAGATAAACAGAGAATCTCTCAGTCTCACTGCGGGGCTGGGAGGGCTTGTGCTCTCCCAAACCTGCTGGAGCATGGGCTCCATGGAAAGTGGATGAGGTGAGAAACGGGCTCAGAGAGGAGCACTCCACATCCTATGGAACCCCGAGTGCTTGGACAAACCTCCCGGCAGCCCTGGCTGCATGGCACGGATGAAGATGGAAAAACGTGTCCACTCTGCCCTTCACGCCTTGCTGTGTCTGTACATGGATATCTGAATTGCATCCCTGGACTCCCACAGACGCGGAGGCTGGAAAGGAGAAGCAGGAAGGGGTGAGGGGAAAGGTGAGGGAGGGTTCAAAGGGCTGCTACAGCCTCGCTTTTTCATCTCTAGTTAATCTCTGTGAAGCCTGAGGCAAAGTCACCTTTGGGTCAACACTCAGGTGTTGTTATCTGCCACCTCCATCGCCCAGAGCTGCCCCCCATGAGCAGGGCTGTGGGGCTGGGTGCCAGGAATCCTGGAATCTGGTCCCCCGGGTTCCAGCCACGTTCTCCTGGGGCAGAGCTAAATCCCGCACTCAGCTGCACCCCAGAGCCGGTTCCCTGCTGCCCCATGGGAGAGAGGGGAGCAACACACAGTGCTTTAAAAACCTTTAAAAATTGAGCCTGGATGAATGGCCAACGCTGGCACAGCATGCCAGCATGCCCAGGGATGCAGGGATGGGAGGAAGGTACCAAGACCTCGGCCTGCCATTCATCCTCAGTCCCACCTGTGCACGCCCGGGAAGAGAAAGAAAGGAAAAAATCCAGCAGAGGCTCAGCTCCTTCAGTTCCAAGGCTTTTATTAAGGTGTGCAACATACCCACAATCATGGGTCTGGGATACAACAGAGGCAGCAGGTGCTGAACACGAATGAGCAGATGGGAGGTGAGGGCAGCGTGAGCCTTGCGGGAAGCTGCCAGAATCCCCCAGCAATGGCAAAGGTTGCTTTGAGCTGAGTGCACCCTTTGCCACCAAATTGTCCTTTTTGGAAGAGGATTTTTGTGGATCTCCTCACTTCACCCACTGGCAGCAGCCCCAGGAGGAGGAGAGCCCAGTTGTGTCCCATGTGGGGCAGGAGGAGGCTGGTGCTGCCCCTGGACCTTGAGTCACTGGTGGACTTGGCCATAGTTGTTTATCCACAGTCCAGGAGCATCTGGTGGGTGCCAGGATCTGACCAGGCTGCCCAATTCTGCTGTTTGCTGGGGTCCTGGTGAAGTGGCTCCGATGGCAGGAGGCAGTTTGGCTGGGAGCAGCACAGCAGCTCTGGAATCTCTCATCACCCTCCTTTGCAGATGAGAAATGGAATCAGTGCCCAGCTTTACTTGGCAGCTGGGGCAGGACAGACAGTGCAGACCCCTCTGTCTGAACCCTCATTGCCCACTGCTGCTCTTCCACATCAGCACTTGAATGGAGTATGTGTCCTATGGATATACAGCAAAGCACAGCAAACAAACACAGCAGCTCCTTTTCCATCTCTAGTTAAGACAATTGTTCTTTGGGTTCTGTGTACAGCAAAATGCAGATCCAAAAAAAACATTCTTTTTTCTCTCAAATGATAAATTAATATAAACACCAACACCACAAGTTCATGAGCAGCTTTAGGATCATGCACTGAGTGAGAGTATTGCCCACAGCAGACAGATGTGCACACACACATAGACCTAAATTAACTTTTCTCTAATACTGACACTAAAAACATAAATTGGTGTTGGATCATTTGACTTAAACTTACTTTTCAGCATTCTGAGGTCACTTTTCAGAACTATTTTTTCTCTCTCACAGCCCAGGGCACCTCACTCTCACCAAGTGACATTTGCCAGGAGCTGGGCTGTGGCTGCGGGTGGGATGTGGGGATGAAGCACATGCTGGAAGTGCTCTGCCCAGGGAGGTTTAGAAGCTTCACTGCCCTGGGACCCTCACTGCCCTGCAGCTCCAGCACAGCCATCCCAGCACTGGTGTAGCTCAGCCAGGCTCAACAATGGACTAGATTAGGTTTAAAGATGAGCCTGGTCACCTTGGGCTCAGCAAACCCCAGGGTCCTGAGGTCGACACAGCTCAGTGCCACCCCGGACCTGGGTGCGGGACAAAACAAATTCCAGTGCAGAGGGATAATGGAGATGAACACTTCAGGGACTCTTGGCTGTGTTGGAGAGAGATGGGAAGGGAAGGGTGGGCACCCAGGGGCCCGGTGAGCGCTTGGCACAGGATGGAGATGCCACCAGCCAAGGCCACAGCGTCCGGAGGGTGGGGGCTGGGCTGGGCTGTGCTGGTGGCACCTCAGGGGCTAGGGGCAGCTGCAGCAGCAAGGCAGGCTGGGCCCTGCTGCATGTAGCGGATGAGCTCCTTGCGATTATCCAGGATGGTGTCAAAACTCTCCTGCAACCGGTTCTGCTGGTCCACAACTTTCTGCTGCAGGCCGTGGATCCAGCGCAGCAAGGCCAGACGCCGGTACATCACCAGCTGGATGTGGTGCTTCTCCTTCTCCTGCTCCTTGAAGCGCTCCTTGTCCTGGAGGTGCTGCACAGCCTCTGCCAGCACCGGGAAGAGGGTCCCCAGCTCAGGCTCAGCCAGCCCTGCCTCAGGGAGACTCCTGGCTTGAGGGGCAGAGGCGAGAGGGTTCCAGTTGGTGCTGCAGGTGCTCTCGGGGCTGTCAATGCTGAGGGAGCTGCTGGCGTAGCCGTTGTCCTCTGCAGGGGAGCTCAGGGGCTTGACACATCCCCTGGCCACCTCTTCGGCAGTGTTTTGTCCCCCTGCCCTGCTGACCTCTGCTCCCTCAGGGGAGCTGCGCACCCCCTGCTCAGGGTGCGTGTCGCACAGGCCTGGGGCAGTGTCCCTAAGCTGGCCCTGGACCATCTGTCTCTGCATTAATAACAGCAGATTATCAGACGGATTTGTGGTGTTTTCGCTCCGGCTGGAGCCCTCCTCTGGCAGGGACCCCGGCGCTGGCTGGCTCCAGTTCTCGTTGCTGTCACACACCTCTCCCACGAAGTTGGAGTTGGAGTCTTGTCCATGTCCTGCCCCTGGGATGGCTGTGCCCAGCGCTGGGCCCCCCTGGCCCTGCTGGAATGGAGCATTTGCTGGGCAGACAGCAAACATTTTTCCGGTGTCCCTCCTGCAAGAGAGACATGGAGCTGTGACACTCCCATGGGCACCTGGGCTGGCACAACCAGAGCAGCTACAGTGGGGAAAAACATGCTCATAACTTTATTTACCTCTTTAAAGTTACTGGACCTATCATGAGGTCAGTGCTCCTGGCTGTTTGACTGCTGCTCTCAGCATGTTCCCATGCATCATCATGGACTCATAGAATGGACTGGGTCGGAAAAGACCTTAAAGCTCAATTAGTTCCCACCCTTTGCCATAGGCAGGGATGCTACCCATCCAAGGGCATTTTCCCACCTGATGCAGAAACTCAAGGAGCCACCTCCCATCCCATTTGCCTTCCCTGAGAGCTCCAGTCCAAGCCTATGTTCCTGCAGCATCTCTTGGGTTATGCCAAAGGGCATCATGGGGTGCAGGCACGCAGCTCCAAGTGCTGCTGGCAGCATCTGGGCTGTGGCTGATGCAATGAATTCCATGCTGGTAAAGGTGTGCTTGGAAGGAGATGCCTTCCCAATAGCAATAAATGTCTTTCAGCAGCTGAGACTGCCTGGGCTCCTCTAAACAACCTCTGCATCAGGATGGGGGGCTGGCCTCCACCTGCGCCCAAACTGGCGACCCCACTGGCCTTCCTTCTCTGCAGGACCGGGAACAGACTGGCCCAGAAAAGGAAAGGTTACCCAGCCCTCCTTGCCGGGTCACTGGCAGCGAGAGGCGCTCTCCAACCCCTCTCCTACAAGGACGCGCTCACAGGAATCGCAGGAGGGAACCCATCAGGTGCTCCGGTCTGACCCCGGCCAGCAGAGGGGCAGCAAGACGGGTGCAGGAGCCCCTGCCCAGTCCAGGCTGCTGCCAGGAGACCCCGGGACCCCCGCCCCGCAGCTGCCCGCACTGACATCTGGGCTGGGTGACACCGCCATAAAGCCGCTGCACCCCTCGAAAGAGCTGCGCCCCATAGGAGCGCTTCCCCCGCAGGCGTGTGGCCGGGCCGCTCTGCCGGGGGGATGCGCAGGCGGGGG